AGAATATAAATATATTATAAATATATTACGAAATAGATAAATATTTTATATTCAGAATATATTCAGAGATGCAGGATTTTTTTGGTTTTGCTGCTGTTGTTATTGTGGTTTTGGGTTTTGTTTTTTTCTTTTCCCAGGGAACATCCTAGATGGGGAGCATCCAACACGGCCTTGGCTAGGTGGCTTCCACCAGCCTACGAAGATGGACTCAGCCAACCTCGAGGATGGGATCCCAGTGTCCGATACAATGGAGTCCAGCTTCCCTCGGTTAGAAAGTGCACCTCGAGATCATTTGAAACACTTACGCTGGGCTATAACCATACCCAGACCTCCATTGGCATCAGTAAATCAAATAGCAAAAGAAGCCGTTGAGCTCAGTTAAGGAGCTGCTAGCTTTGCTAGAACATAAGTTCAGTCAGCCAAATAGTGAGAGGTCCCCTGCACCTGGGCTGGGGTAAGCCCAAGGAGCAGTGCAGGGGGGCACTGACTGCCTGGGGGGCAGCTCTGCCGAAAAGGACCGTGGTGGAGAGCAGGCAGGGCACGCGCCAGCCGCGTGCCTGGCCTGGCTTGCACCAGGCGCAGGGCAGCCAGCAGACCTGGGGGGATGGTTGCTCAGCCTAGAGAAAAGACAGTGCAGGGTGGACCTAATCACAGCCCTCCCATGCTGAGAAGGCACGGAAGGTTATAGAGAGGAGGGAGGTCTTCACAAGGATGCACACTGACACGGCAAGAGGCAATGGTCACAAGTTGCTCCAGGGGAAATTTTGTCTTGATACAAGAAAAAAAACATGTTGTGAGAACAATTAAATGTCGGAATAGGCTGCCTAGACAACTGCTGGAATATCCCTCCTGGGAAATACCCAGGACCTGGCTTGATGGGGCTCTGAATAACCTAATCCCTGTTTTCAACAGAAAGCTGCATTATGTGGTCTCCAGAGTTTCCTTCCAGCCTAGAATTTCCAGGGATTTTATGATTCTTTGTTTCAATAATGGTGCCTTTATTCAGGGAAGGAGAAAGGGGAAAACAGGACTGGGTGTTAACTAAATAAATATAAAGCACATAGATGTGCTAGCATGTGTATGTTTGTATGCATGTATACTGTTTTTCTTAGGTTAGTGTACCTTAATTGAACAAGTACTGCTGTCAAACCATAACTTCATTTTTTAGATAGACCAAGTTATTGAGCTAAGAAGGCATTGCAATATTTATAGATTTTAGCAGCTTATATACTTAAAAAATAGCAGAGCTGCTGTAGAGGGAAGTTTGAACAAAAAATATTTGTATAGAGGACTGGGTGAAAAATTCACCAGTGCAGTGTGCAATGATTTGGGCTGGATTTACTATTTCTGGTTTGTCATCATTGCTTTGAAACCTGACTTTTAATGGATTCAAAGTCTTGTTATTTTAACCACCATATGTTTAAGAAGGATGAGCAAGAGAATTTAGTGTTAATGTCACCTGCAACTCATGTTATTAATTAAATAACATTGTCTCTAAGCTGCACAATTTAGCACTTAAAGATGAAAACCTGACATTTACACAGGTACATTTCCAGGAGATAGTGCAAACTGCCTTTTTCAGTAGATGGTACAAACTGCCTTTTTCTACATTCATTAGGGTACATTAGGGTAAAACGCACTAAAACAAAACTACATGACTGCACCGAATCTGATCATATCTGATCATCAGCAAGGTTCTCTGCTTTATTTTGAAGTAAGATAGGATAAACCTAGTGCCATAGATTTTTTTCCTCATTTACATAATTAAGTCTTTTTTATACTTTTATCTATCCAACTCTACCCTTTAAAAAGCAACATGCAAATAATGTGAAGGTGAGAGATTACTATAAAGCAATATTAGAACACAGCGTAGCTGTGCAAGTTAGCAGTGATGAGAAAATCTTGCTAACTGCAAGAAAAAAAGTTTGTGCTTTGTGGCCACCAAAGCTGTTAAAATACTGATATAAGGACTTGTATTCCTTGTATGTATCTCTGCTCTTGACTATTTCAATATAAAGCCTGATGTTCCTAACAAGTCCTGTGTCACCTCTTGTCCTTACCAATTCTATTTAACTACACCTGCTTTATACATTCATTATATAGCCCTTATATTTATTACAGACTCTGTGACTCTATTTTGTGTGCTGCCCTTTCAATTGCTTGACTTCTAAGGCAGCTACTGTATGTGAGGGAATATTTTGCAGCATGAGGGAGGAATCTGTGAATAATAACAATACACTAATCATCACAAACTGACTGCTGATTTTGCTCTGATGGTTTTGCTTGGTTATTAGAATAGGCTGGACATGTAGCGTAGATGTCTCCATGTGTTCCCCCTCAGAGCATCTATATCTCTATGCAGCTTTCACAGAGGTGCCTCAGAAATATGTTTTGGTTTCTCCCTGCCTGCAAAAATGAAGCAGAGCTTTCAGCTACCATATATTTGCAACCTAGCTCGTCTCCTGGGCTGCATAAGCTGCTCCATTTATGTACAGAGCAGCTCAGAGCCTCTGTATATCCACAGTGATTTGAGGTTGCCCAGCAAACAGAATCTATTTGTTAAAGGAGCATAAAACAGAATAAATAGAAAGAAAACTTTTCGACAATCTAAAAGAAATGTGTGGTTTTCAAAATTCTCTGGAAAGGAACAGATCAAAGATACACCACTCATTTGGCAAATATATATAAAAACTCAGCTGAAACATCTTTGTATCTGCTTGTGGCACTGGTGTCTCAGCTCCTGAACAGAAATAAGACTCTGTCAGAAGTTGGGTTTTTTGTTGTTGTTGGGGTTTTTTGGGGGGTTGTTTTTAAGCAAACCATTAGAAACACTCTATAACATAAAGTATTCTAAGGGAAAAAAAATACAGCTTTTATCACTGTTCCCCCTGGTTTTTAGTGTTTTATCATTTTGTGAGAAGTAAATACTACTTGGCACTCAAGGTAAATTAGCTCTCTTCCCAGGTTCGTGAAGTGACAAGAAAAATTATTCACACATCTAATGAGGCTGTTACTGAAGACAACCTGTACTCTGATATTATTGTGGTGTGGGGACAATACATAGACCATGACATTGCATTCACACCCCAGAGCACAAGCAGAACCACGTTCCTAACTGGAATGGAGTGCCAGATGACATGCGAAAAACAAAATCCATGTTTTCCAATAAAGGTAAGGTTCTAAATTAATTTCTTCAAGAGAAATTCCAGGTTTTAAACAGGTGAATACTGTAAAACACATTAGTGATACACACACACTGAAATAATTATAAAGAAAATTGATAGATCGCCTAGAAATATTAGAGCAGACAGTGTTAGAAAAATTGAAACCCAATGCAACTATTAAATAAAACAGGTGGATATTTAAATTGTCTTGTAGAGATAACAAACTATAGCTTATAGGTACTCAGTACAAACATCAAATTTTTCTACCTCTCAGGTTTATGTTGCAGAGAACCTTATTAATCCTCCCAATGTTATTGTTCTCATGCTTCAAGGTTTTGAGTTCCATCAGGGAAAATAGGGAAGTAGTCATAAATAATTCTGGTTTTAAATTGCCAGCCAGATAAAGTGAGAGGATCTTAACTTTACTCAGTGAAAGCAAAGATATTTCCAGCGCCTAATGCAAACTTTTGAAGAGAGCTATCTTTTCAATGTATGTATAAAATGATCTTCAGGGAGTTGCTGAAACTTACGTACACCACCTTCTTGCTTTGAGTAGATGGAAAACATGAATTCAAACCTTGTTAGAGGGTTAGAAGAAACATAAATTGGTATAAATATAGGATCTTATACTCTTGTCTGATTAATTTAAACGTATAGTCATTCTTTCATTCAAAAAATTAAGCAGCAGAGTCAAACCACTTTTTTGTTTCTCAAAGCGCAGCCTGTCCATCTCATGCTACAGGAGAGCCCCATGCCCATTACAGCCCTTGGACTGATGCCCCCATCTCTACCCAGAGCAACCTAAATTACTTTCCTTAGGGTTGGAGCTTGATTACTGACCAGCTTCTCTATACACTGAAGCCAGTTTAATGATTAAGTTCCATCCTAATAGAAAACTCTTTTCCTTAGCAAACTGTAATTGATAAGTATGCCACAGTCTCCTCTTGCCTTAATGTTTCATTCCACTTCCATTAAACATAAAGGAAAATATTCTGCTAACTGTAATGCGAAATGAAAGAAGCTGCACACATTACCATGGCATATACCTACAAATGCATCCTTCAGTGCTCTAAGCACGGGACATTTTTTTGATTTCTATCTTAGAGCTGTGAAGAGATTCATCACAGAGCATGTTTAAAGGATTCTCTTGAAAGCAAGTTACTTGTACTAAATCTGGCACTGAATGTAGCCTAGGAGCTGCTCCTGCTCAGCAGTATAGCCTAGCAGGGGAACGGGGTCAAGGCATACCCATGGCTACCTTTGGGAGTGCTAGTGTCTGATACTCAGAATGGCCATGCGGGGGACATGCAAAGAAATTAAGACACAAACCTGTAAGTATTAGATAAGTTTCCCACTTGTGCATTCATTACTTGATCACAGTCCCATGAATCTTTCAGCTCCATTTTGTTATTTTTCTGTTATTCACAGCTTAAAGAGGGACAGATATGAAGATGGTTGTCCTTTTGCTGTACTATGTCTATTGTGACTGTCTTTGTCAAAGGCAAAGAATAGACACTGTATTTCCCTCTAGAACTGATTTTCTTGCTGAAATCTTAAGTAAAGTTAATCTCTACCTATTATATATTTGGAAAACAGCCACAGTTAGTTTTATACATTCATTTTGTGTATGAAGAAACCGTGGCTGGTTTCCAAAGACAGTGAAATCAATAGCATATTATCCACCAATGTAAACATAGAGGCTGCAGTTTGCACTCTTGCTGTGTTCCTTAGAACAGCGGCACCCAAGGGAGAATACACTCATGGAAAAGGACAACCGTGCTTAGAGCTATATGCCCTCTCTGGGGGTTTCACTGGGGAAAGGGAGCTTCTGACTGTACAGGTTAGGGAAGCTGTCTGGAAAATGTTCTGAGTCAGTGCAATTCAATGAAGGATTGAAAGCTGCGGTAGTGCATTAATATTAACAACAAGTGTAGGTAAATGATTCATACGTTAGCAGGAACCACTATGATTTTCTATTCTGGACATTTTTACAATAAAGGCTATAGAATTTCACCCAGTGATTCTCACATTGAGCCTATAGCTTCTGGTAGACCCTGAACATCCTTTTTCTGTATCTTTTCAGAATCCCATAATGTGAAAAAAAAAGACAGAAAAAATCACTAGCTTTAGTTTATACTTATTTTACAGCAGCCTGACACATGGAACAGGATTGCAGAGATAACCTGTCATTCCTCAGATGATTATTTCAGGTTAGGGCTGAGATATAATGAGGCATTAGAAAGACTTTCATAGGACAGCTACTGACTTTATTCAGTATTAATTACATTGCTGACAATAAGTTAGACATGGCACATAGACATAGTAAGATACAATCCTGAAAATCTTTCAGACCGTTAGTTTAGATACAAAAAGGTGGAACAGAAACAGAGTTCCAGAAAAGTGAAGTGATTTGCAGAAGGTGACACTTAACATGACAGGTTACTGTCTCAGCTACAAATGGACCTGTCTGTGTGTGCGCAGGAACCAGCAATGTGAGCCCCTGCCTTTTTCTTCTGTGTTTCAGAGGTAGCAGCTCACTGTCAGATGGGGTCATTGACTCTCCTCTGAGTTTCATGTCCACAAATAAACATTCATGTTTTCCTTATTGGCAGACTTTCATAGGCCATAAGCTAGGTTTTCTTTAAGTCTACAGCAAAAATCCTTTTACAAGGTCATTTCCCACAGAACAAATTCACAATAAGAAAGACTTTCCTTTAACTGAAATAACAGTTTAGACGTTGTAGTATACTGAAACGATTAGTGCCTTTCATTTTTCTACACATAAAAGAATTTCACCATAAATAGGTTTGACAATGCATATATAATAACAGTTTAAATCAACATGCAGCTATACTAGGAAAACTACTGTGGCCGGAGAGGGTTTTGCTGAAGTTTTTTTCCTCTAGAATTATGCAAGGCAGAGAAAAAATTCATATGGATATTCTTCATTAGTTTTGGAGAAAAATGTGATTCTGTTCCCATTTCAGCAGAAAAGGGTCTTTTTTTTCCTCATATTATTTTTTATGTCATTTGAATAATAACGTAAAAAACCTCTCATTTGCACATTCAGCTGCTGGCTGCACGCTGCTTATCCCATGAAAAGGGACAGGACTGCATTATGCAGTTCTGCCAGCCCCTTAATGTTCATTACTGCTGTTTTTCTCCATTGGGGCACAGAACGGTTTGAATTGAAATTGCAGAGGCAGTTAACTAAATATTATTGAGTATGAACTTCATTCACTGTTGATATGTTTTGTTGTGACCTCGCTGTTTAACAGCTTAAAGGCAGTTCATGCATTTTTTCCCAGTGATACCTGAATTCTTCCAGGCTTTCCTGATAACTAGGAGCAGGAGGCACTCAAACACATACAATGCTGTAGCAGGTATTTGTAGTATGAGATGAGCTTCTTGCTTACATTACCAGCTGAAGGGAAAAAGAAGCCACACTAATAGCAAGAGACTTAATAATAGAGACAAATACTAAATAGAAAACCCAAGGCAGAGAAATTACTGATTTCAGCAATCAGTGAAAGAAAGAAAAAGGAAAAGAAATTACATACTTCCTTCAGAGATAACCTGCTTTGATTTGCTAAAGCCTAACTAGTAAGGAAATATTGGTATAATTTCTTTACGAGACAAAACTTGAAAACCAAATGAAATCCTTTCTTAACTTAAATGCTTTATTGGTATCAATTCCTACTGCCATGAGTTCTCAGTAGTAAGAGAATTTTACTTGATATAATAAATGAGGTAATGATGTTATTATATGAAGCTCTTGAATTCCTTTCCAAAGTTGCCTTGTTACTTTTACCTCCAATTTAATGACTAATTTATCTTCACAGACTGGTCTCTGTATTATTAGAAATATGAAGAAGAAATTACAACATCTTATATAACACCTGCAGTATTCACTGTCTTCTGCCAAAGAATTTTCAAAAATGAAAAGCAAGGAGATAGAATATAAATAAAAAAGGTTAGCTCAGGTGTCTGCACAAAACATTTACTTTCTCTTAGTCAAATGTTTGAAGATTTTTTTTTTTCTAGGATATTTCAGCAGCAGTAAGTGTTATCTGTTCCCATTTCATGTTGGTCAATTGATAAGAAAATCCCAGCATTATATTCCCTGAAACTCAGACTCCATGATTTTTATAACGTTTTTAATTGAGGTTAATCTTTTTTAAACTCTTGGAACTGACATGCTCTTATGGCTAGTTGATGCTGCACAATGCAGTACTGTTAGAATTTGGAAATAATATACTTTTCAGAAAAACAGAGTTCATAAAGCCAAATGTGCATTAGAAAACAAAGGTAGATTTTAGTTATTTTGAAACCTGGCAGTTTTTAGTTTAGTGATGAACTCTATTCTTTGAAATACAATTGATGTTCTGGGCTTTCCTTTTGGTTATCCTACAATGTGAATAAAACCTTTCTCCCTCTTCCTTTCTATCCTCCAAGATCTCTGCTGCCCTCCCCACATCCATTAAGTTATTCACGCACCTTTTTCAGTGCTCTCCTGTGGCAAAACTTCTAGCTGTCTGGTTTGGGCTGTATTTTCCCCTAAGACCCTTACCGATACCCCAAGATCCAATTTGATAATTCCCACATGTTTCTCCCATACCCTTTACCGATATTTGGAATAGCTGACTGTGCGACAGATTGGTTCAGACTATATGAATGCTGACTATCCAGCATCCACACAAATGCTGGATCACCATTTTGTCCTCAGTCTCTCGGCTATGTGTAGGTCAAACGGATAAAGGACTGGGAAGTCTTTCATCTGGCAAAGGCTATATTCAGCCTTTGCTTTTTATAAAGACAGTCAGAATTTAATACTTGTAAGAAAGACAGCTGTCACTGTAAAATAATGTGGGGGAAGGATTGTGGCGGACTGGCAGAAAGTAGAGTGAATAATTACATATGCCTCTTTTAGTTAGGAAACTGGATTAAAATTAGGTATCGAAACAAAGCTTTTACAGCATGCTGCTGCATACGTTGAAACTCCTCATTAAGTTTTTATGTATACACGTAAACTTGCTGTTTCACTTGGTGTTCTGTAGAACATAATTTGACCAGATGTTCACATCTTCTCTGTGATACATTTCATGATGAATTTTGATTGCGAAGCCAGGCTAATTTAGGTGTAGATCTATGCAAAAGGCGTTACATCAGTAGTTTGCTCTTATGACAGAGCAAAGGTTTTGGGGTTTATTTCTATCTTTGCTTAGAAAGGGTTAAGTCATGTTTTTGCTGAAATCTAAAGGAAAACAATCTCTTTAGATTTAGAATTCTTCTAGGTTTAGAATATGTCACTCCAGTAGATAAGATCTGAACAACTGAAAACTGAGAATATGGAAATATTTACACAAGCCTTAATTCAACATCCACAGCTGTTACCTTCACCTCAGAAAATACATGGGGGTTTTTTATGCAGGTGACCACCAATGATACATTAACTGCAGGGATGGATTGCCTGCCCTTCTACCGCTCATCCCCTGCGTGCGGCACTGGTGATCATGGTGTTCTCTTTGGAAATCTATCAGCGCTAAATCCAAGACAACAGATCAATGGCTTAACTTCTTTCCTTGATGCTTCTACCGTCTATGGCAGTACGCCTGCTGTTGAAAACAAACTGAGGAATTTAACAAGCAAAGAAGGCCTTCTTAGAGTAAACGTTAAATATTATGACAACCATCGGGAATACCTACCTTTTACAGACCAGATCCCATCACCTTGTGCACAGGACTTCAATGCGAGTGAAGGTGAGAGGATTGAATGCTTTATGGCCGGGGACAGCCGATCCAGCGAGGTCATATCTCTGGCAGCTATGCATACTTTGTGGCTGAGAGAGCACAACCGCCTGGCCAGAGCCCTCAAAAACATCAATGGCCACTGGACCGCTGAGACAGTCTACCAAGAAGCACGAAAAATTGTTGGTGCTCTGCATCAGGTTGGCTGCTTATTTGCTTATTTACACATTGCAGTAATATCTTAGAACAGAATCAATCACAAAACTTCAAATATATTTCTGTGAGTGGCTTTGGAGATGATGTTACCTTTTCTTTGCCACCTATTTCTGCGCTTCAAATTTGACATGTTCAAAGTTTGTTCTGTTTTCTGCTTTCCTGAATGCAATGTCCTTGTCCTTAGTTTGTCCAGACCCCTCAGTGCTTCGATTTTCATGGCAGTTTCTACTCTGCTTCATCTTTCTGCAGGCTTCTCTGGTGTCTATTTTGTCTATTGAAGAGGCCCTTTCAGATACATTTCTTTGTATTTTTTTTTGGTAAAGGAAACAATTTAAAAGTAATGTCTCTGTATTTATATAGTGTTCAAAATGTTTACTTTCTCATAGGAATTGTATAAATTAGTATCTTCCCTGTGTAAAAATGCCCGTGAAGTTCTCAAAGATGCATTAATGCATAAATTTCAAGGGTTACTCTTGATGGGAGATAGCAGGAGAAATAAATATGGGAAAACACAGGAGAAAAGAGTCCCTAAGAATGTTTATATTAGACCTGATAATAGGAAAATGTATTTCTACTCAGTATTTTACCTTATTCTCCCCCCTTCCCCCACCCCCAAAGTAGTTACGCAGGCTTTAACTTCTTTTTTTTCCTCACAGTTCTGATGTTCCGTGTGGACAGCTTCTGGTCCTGCAAACCTTCACGTGACCCTATCATAAATGAAACAAAATGAAAACATTCAAGGATTTCCTTTGCGCAAAATATAATCTGCTTGCTCATAGTGTTAGAGGCATTCAAATCTGGATGGCATCAGGACCAGAAGGATTCCTCCAGTGCTAGCCTGATGGATGGGAGGAGGTTGTGCCTCCCTGTCCTCAGGTCCAGCCAGTACAAGGCCAAGCACTTACGCCCAGTAGGCACGCATGTGGGTGCACACACACACAGACAGAGAGCAGGCCGCACCAACCAGCACACACCAAAAGCAGCACCTTTGCTGGCACTCACACGAACATGAACAGCACGGATGGCCCGACCCCTGTTCTCTGCTGCTGCTCAGGATTGAAGCCCATTAGTGAAGTACGCACACAGGCAACACGGGGCTCTCCTGGACAGCCTGCACAGTGGCTGGCCCCAGGGCTGGTCCAGCTCACGATGCCTGGACCCACAAGCCCCTGTGGGTCCTCAAGTTTCTTATGCTGCTCATCATGTCTGGTCTGGCGGGAAACTCTCTAGTGATCACACACGCATGCTCAGGGTAGAGAGTACACCCACAGAGGGGGTAGTGAGAAAAAGGACTGCAGAGATCAAGCACAGGGCCCAGCCAGACGAGCACGCTGATCAGCTAACTCTTCACACTCCGATAGCCCCTTTTATCCCCTTTTCCCTCTATTTCCCCATGTTTTTTCCAGCCCACCTTGACCAAGTTCACCTTGACCCCTCCCTTTCCCCACCTTTAGTCCTTTCCCTGAGTACATCGTAGTTTTTCACACATTCCCACAGTCCCCTTAAAACATCACAAACGAAGTTCTCACACAGTTCCCACAAGTCCTCTCCTCCCTGCACCTCACGACGACTCCTACCCTTGCAGGCAACAGCCCCTTTAGCTTGCATGACGTCCGGGGAACAGTTTCTTTCATTGGCACGTCTTGGTGGGTTTCGCACCTGGGCTCGATGTCTGGCCACTGTCTCTGGTGGCCTTGGGGAACGGATGATCCTGTGAGTCCATTTTCAATGGCTTGGTTACTCAGGTTACTTTGCCTGACGTTGTTCTTCTGAGCCTCATCAGGGCCTTTGCGTTTGTGGAGATTCACCGTTAATCAGACAACCTGAGACACGGTGATTCCACCTGTCTATTATAATCCATAATACTGGATGAGCAATATCAGGACCAGAATAATCTGAAGGCTAGGGGACTTTCCTACACTTTCTGATTCTTACAAACAGATTTTTTTATTACCAAAAAGAGCCTTTTTTGAAGATGAATTGGGTAAGGAGGGAGGAAAATTTCACTATTCTGATAAAACACTTTTCCTTTTTTCTGCCACAATTTTTAGTCAGCAGAATATGCAGAATGTTTCATTTAAGAAACCACCCACATTGTCCGGCATGTTGTTATTTGCACTTAAAGCCAGATAACTTCAGAAAAGTAACATACTTTATTTAATTGTATTTAGTCAGTCCTTTGAAAAGTTTGGCTTTTCTTTTTTTTATGTATTTTAGTTAGGTTAACCATGTCAGCTCCTGTGCTGTAAGTGTGCTGTTTGCATTAAAATAATGGCACTGACAAGTCAGAATTGTCGTTAATACTTGTTAGAAGAAAAGTGCAAATTCAAAAGTAAGCCTCTGTGTGTTCACACACTTCTGATTTACGTCCAGTAATATTGTGGCCTGAAAGAAAATACTTTGTGCAAGGCAATACGCTGAATCTGGGCTACTCATTATCTCTACCAGTATCACAGACTAATGAGATTTGCCTATGGCTCATTAGAAATGTGTTTGAGTTATGTCTAGCTGGTTCAGAGACATTCATTCAAGAGAGATAATTGGAGTATCTTTATTATTGTGGTATGGTAACCAGCACGCTAATGACAGCTCTAGTTGAAGTTACCTTGAGATTTCCACTCTAAAATTTAGTTTCAGTTGCTACACATTTCTAAAATTCTCTGAATGAATACTTTCAAGTGTAATTTTTGCCTGTCGGTGTGTAATTATAGGGAATTGAACAAAAAGCCTTCCCTTCTTTCTAGAATAAGGAGAATGAAAAAAGTCTCTTTCTAGACCATACTTTTCCCCCTAGATGCTTTTTTGGCAGCATAAATATCTCTAGTGATAAGTGTTTAATAATAGAAACTTGACACATAACAATTGACTTGATATCCTGGACAAAACAGATTTTTTGGTTGCATTGTAGGCATGTTTCATTGATAAGTAGTAGTTTATACAAGACACAACAGTGGTTAACTCTCCCCTTGTATTTTATGGGAATGACACATGCTTAACTCTAAAGTATTAACAATGCAGTATACCGGGGTAAAAATACATACCCTGATTTACCTAGTGTTTTGTGCAAAAAGAAATTTTTCATTGTCATTTACTAACTGAAATGAAACTATCTGCTTGTTTTGCTTATTCCTGTTCTGACCTGAGAAAACAGAATAAGGAGAATTAGGATTCCTCCTTTCAAGCTATTTGTAAGAAAATAGTTCAAATTTGTTTTCCTTTAAACAAAAAGTATAGACAAAACAGGAGAAAATGCTCAATTATGCAACTGCTACAGTCTTAACATTGCTATTTCATACATAAGTGGTTTGCAGGATGCAATTGCATGCACATGTGCCATTCCTCCCAGAGACCATTTCCCCTGATGTGCCATTTGGATTGTGAAAGCCGGATGATGTGGCACTAGTCAGAGTGAAGCAGGAGTTTTGCAGATCAATCTGAATCAAATTCACTTTGATTTATTAATTATCAGAGAACCATCTCTGAATTAATGGTGTTACTGCCAGTTGATCCCAATTGTAGTTGACAACTGCCTTTAGTTTTCAGTGCGTAAATACATGGGTTTTTTCACTTCCTTCTACATCTGCTTGTGTTCTCTGAATGTCTTGCATCCCTACTTCTCTGCCATGATCCAAGGGGTGGGTTGAAAGTGGATGTCTTCTGAGGCTGACATACTTCAACTTAACTACAATTATTGGACTCAACATGGCTAACTTGGATGAAATTTGTTTGTGAAATTAGATAATTAGATAACTCCTCTCAGAGCTTAAACTATGGAATTATAAAAGATAAATAGATAAATAATAGATATTATAAAAGGGTATGTGTTGCATACTGTCATAACTCATGTTTATAAAGAGTGTAGTTCAGACTATTAACGGCACTATAATAATGTGTTACTTATTAAAAATTGAACTATCATAAAATCACCCTTTACAGAAAAGTTTAGGACTTCAACATCATCCGTAAATCCTTTAATATCTACAGTGAGAACTTCAAACCAACTGTGCTTAGCACTTTAATGAATTAAACAACATTGTTATGTTTGGTTGTTCTTTATTATTTCTCCAATCTTTCCCAAGTGCAGTAGCTTCATTTAATTGGCTCTTTACTATCTCAGTGAGATACTATGCCTTTGCAGTTACCTCTGGCCAATAGCAAAGGCAAGTTGCACTTTTGGCCTCATTTATTCTTATGGTAGTTCACACATTTTTATATTCTCTCTTCCAGCCTTTTTTTTTTATTTTCCTTTTCCATCCATTGTGCTCCATTCACACATACTTTGGAAAATGTTGGAGGGGTTTTGGCAAGGTTGAACCTTATGAGAAGTAATATGAATTTCTGTATCTTTTGCACCTAATTTGAAGTAACTTTTAACATGAACAAAAAATTCTCAAAAATAATCTGAAATTTTGTAACCTATTTCCAAATGTCTAATGTATGGTTGACTTCTGCTGTGGGTAGCCCAGCCTGGAGGTAAACCCAGCCAGCATGCTCGCTGAGTTCATAAGGACACTTGGGAATCCTTGTTGTAATTCTGCCTTCTAAATGAGAGGGATGCTGCCTTTCATACTAACAGCCTGTTTAACTTGGAGTATTATTGTGTTTGCAGGTCAGGATTCAGTTATTTTTCTATAAACAGTGCACATGTGATTCATGATATGATGTAAAATCTGTACAAAAACTTTTCTGACAGTCTTGTAATCACTCAGATTCTGTTTCTGACTGAAATCTTACCAAATGATTAGTTGAATTGCTAGGAAATCAGAATTTTATTTTCTCTGATGTGACTAAATGAATAATATTTAAATACTCTCAATCCCTCTGTAACTATCTAGTGATATAGACTACTAAAGTCATTTAAATATTGAGCATATGGGCTTCTGTTTAAAAGACAGTGGCCATTTGTCAACATTTTTCACTGAATTATACCATTGAAACAATGACTGCCATGAGACAGTAGAAATATTGACATTATTGATTAAAATTAATTTCTTCATGAGACTTCTATGGAGCATGGAGTTGATGCTACGAGGTGCTGAATGTCTCCCAAGAGGAGCTTGGATTACCACTAATCTCATAAATGTCACAAGGAGTTGAGACCACCCAGTACCTTGCAGGTTCAGACTCATTATATCCACATAAATAACTTATGCTGCTGCAAACAGCTGAAAGTTAACTTATTATTCATAAACAGACTCAAAGTAATAAATAAATGGTAGAGCAGTTCATTTTATTTGTTTGCAATTTCTTTTCCATATAGTCCCTTTCTGGCTCTGATTTTATTGAAGTATTTTTAGACAAGAATATTCTTTTATTTCCACAGGAGAATCTCGGTTGTTGAAGGAACTCTGTATCAAAAGAAAGCATTATTCTTATTTATGCCAAATATGAAAGGAAATAAATCTTTCAAATCATTCTCTCAGAGGAGGGAATGCATGCAAAAGAATTTTAACAAAAATAATTTTGATGTTTGTCAGCTGTTTACACCTTCTTTAAAACACATATGTGTCAGTTATGAGAACTTGTAGAGAGCTTCTCCTTGACTTCACGCAGACAAATTCAGGCAAGGTATGTTCAGAGACTACACAAAGACTGGATGCTACGTGCTGATGTACTTTAGATATGGTTCTCTGTCAGATTCCAGATTCTTTCTGGCAGTATCATCTTCTGCTGTATTAGTAACACCTTCTTAGTCTGTATTGTCTAAAAATCACCTCCACTCGATGGAGCCTTATTTAGCCATTGGAAGTTTTCATCAAACAGATGCTTCTCTTAGCTCAAGGCAGACATAATTCCCCTTTTTACCTTTTAATTTTCATGTCTTGAAATCGCAACCCCTCTTCCCCCACCAAGGAAACAAGAAGTGAAGATCTTACCTCTGGAGCAAATGAAAAATCTGAATTGCCCTTTCCTTCGGGGAATCTGATCTTTATGAGAAGCTTAGCTTGGAATTTCATTTACAATGAGCCAAAAAATGACAGTCATATCAGGATTTTTGTGTCCATGGCTAACCTAGTCCTATTTAAAGTCTTTGCTTGTAAAAACTAACTCTAAATCTAAAATTAGAAAGAACTGTTGTCTTGCAAAACCTTTGTGAATGTAGCAAAAGGTTAACTTCTCAAATGACAGTGTCAGTACTAATTTCTAGCAATTATTTTATTTTCTTCATATGTTGTATTAAAGGAGCTATAAAAGGAATTCTTACCTACTGTCTTTCAAATATTTTGTTCACTGCATGACCTAAACTGAAAACGTAAAGAGGTTGTTACCTCTGCTTTCTGAGAAAAGTGAGCGAATTCTGGAGGGGTTTGCCTGTCTCTGTGCCGTGCCTAAAATAAAGACACAAGTTTTTCATAAGGTCATTTTATGCCAAGTAGCTTTTCAATATGCACTATATCAAGCTCAAAGTACATTTGTCTGTATATTTTATTGCACATTATATTGAATCTATAAGGTATTTTATTTAGTTCATTATGCTTCATATTCATCCCATTATGCTTTATTCAGTTCAGCGTAATCTTTAATGTATAATGCACTTTCATTTTATTTGGTACATTAGATCGTTTTCCCCTTTTTTTTGGTCATGATTACTCATATGCTTTTTTCATGCAACTGTAATGCTATTACATTATAAAAACATTTGACAGAAGGTGTTTATCAGCATTTTCATTTTTGAAGTGTGTTTTTTAGGAGTCTATAAAGTGGCTTGAGTTTAGCATAAAATGTCTACCGAGGGATTCTGGGCACCAGTAGTTTAAAGCCTGGTCATTTCAAATATTCAGTAAAGAGGATTTGTGTCACAAACATACATCTGAAAATAGAATCTGTTCATATCAACAACCATTCTTGAAAGATTTTATAGTAATTCAGGCTTTCATTGCCATTTTTAAGGGCATTATAATTTACATCATCGCAATCAGAGCTTTAAATCTCAGCACACCTCCTGTGAGCTGGATTACCCTCATGGATTGGAAGTGAGCAAGTGGTAATCTCTACTCAGGAGGCTTTGGTCGAACATTTATGGTTGGAGCTAACAGGGGCCTGGCTGTCGTACTGCACTGAGCTATGCCACTATTCTCTCCAGTCATTTGTCTCCTTACTGCAAAAATAAGAACGATATTGTTCACCAGCTAATACTGCTCTTAGGCATGCCAAATGTTTGGGGATAGATGAGTGAAGAAAAAGGCATTTAGCATGTGGGAATCATTACTATTAATCTATAAAAACATTGAATGATAAATGTTTCTTTTTCTTTTCTTTCAGATTATTACTTTGAGAGATTACATTCCCAAAATCATTGGTCCAGATGCTTTTAATCTGTATATTGGCCTTTATACAGGTTATGATCCCACAATGAATCCTACGGTTTCTAATGTATTTTCAACAGCTGCTTTTCGTTTTGGTCATGCAACAATCCAACCAATAGTAAGGCGACTGAATGCACAGTATTCAGATGACCCAGAACTCCCAAATCTTCATTTGCATGAAGTTTTCTTTAGTCCCTGGAGGCTCATTAAAGAAGGTACGGTTTTATTTAAACTGTTTGGGTTGGGTTTTTTTTCAGTTATTTATCTTGAATTAGGAATAGGAACATTTATTTAATTGCATCACTGATTTAAGCTGTTAAACTGGTTCCAGAGCATTAACATGAACTGGAACAATTATTCTGAGTTAAACAGTTCTCTGAATCAGACAAAAGTCATTCTCCAGATTAAACCAGTCTGGTAGATTGACAATAGATTGATGATTGATGATGAAGATATTTCACATCTTTTTTTTGTGGATGAATGTATTATCAGGTTGCAAATTTTCTTACACCTGAAGAGGCAGATGGAGCCTTTTCATAGCGCTATTACTTCTATTTCAACCTGCAGCACATTTCTGCATATGTTTGAATGTAGAAGCCTGTGGCCAAAGTTTAAAAAACATAGAAGCATACATGCATTCACATTTGTTAAGAAAGTTGTAATGGTTTATATATACACTGTAACATTATATTATTTTTGTGTTTAAAGGAGGCTTGGATCCTTTACTAAGGGGTCTTCTAGCACATTCAGCAAAACTGCAGGTGCAAGATCAACTACTGAATGAGGAATTAACAGAAAAACTGTTTGTGTTGTCCAATAATGGTTCACTTGATTTAGCATCGTTAAATTTACAGCGTGGCCGTGATCACGGACTCCCAGGTCTGTTGATTTTTCTTGTATTTTCTCCCAACTGGTAACTGAACTATAACTGCTTATGTCTGGGATGTAATCATAAGCTTTTAAATAATAGTTTTAGTAATCAGAAAAGTAACTTAAGTCTCTTTTAAAAAGTAAGTGGTTAATATTTTTAACTTTGATGAAAACAAAATATTCCCAAGCTTTTGAAATTAAAATAACTTGTTAAGCCTGGAATTTAGAAGGGCAGTACTAGTGAGTAGATCTGGGTGTGCTTGATGTAGGTACCTGAGGCTTGTTCTTGCTGGAACCAGCTCTAGAGGAGTGGAGTTTCTGCCCGCAGCAGCTACTTGCCATGGGCAGGCTGTCCCCAGCCTGTGGGACAGGTCAACTTAGACACAACCTCATTGGCTCTACTGACCACAGAAGGTGTTGAGATGTCTCCAGGAGTCGTGTAGATGGCTTATTTAGGTGTACACCTCATTTTGAGAACTATTACATGTTTGTGCGTGTTTTTTGCACTAGATGTCTTACTCCAGTCAGCCCGGGGTAAGACTGAACTAACAGTCAAGGAGTGCTAGCCCATTAGGCCATGGGTGTACTGGCTTAGAGGAAGGTTGCTGGAGCTTAATTCAATTTAATTGCATCAGCTGTTAAAATATACAGTACATTCCCAGTCCTGTGTAAAACCTCTTACAAGCATGCCACAGCTTCTAAGAGCAGAGGCAGCAACTCTCAGCATGGTAGACAGGGACTCTTTCTTTTTTGTTTCTCAAACTGTGTCCTGACGCCCTGCCTGATCAGACTGCTTGTCTGTATGAATAAGGAAAAAACCTGGCTGCCCTTCTATGCTCTGACCCCGATGTCCTACCCGTGGAGGTAGGACTGACTGATTGTCAAAGGGCATTATGTCTCTTGATGACAAACCTCTCCATTTCTCCTGTGCAACTCCACAGCTAGGAATACACAAGTCATTCGCCCTGGACAGTAGAAAAGAAGTCTGACTCCAGCCTGGAGTTTAAAGCTCTCTGCTACACAAGGGTAGAAATGGGGGTTTGATCTCCCAGACCAGAAATTAAAGTTTTGTTGGGAGATGAGGGGGGTTAATTCCAACGACATAAAAGAATGTAAAAGAAATATATTTTCCAGAGAGCTGGACACGTGCCCTAGGACACTCTCCTTAGTAAAGTGCTTTAGTTACTAACTTCATTCAGGTTACTTCTTGCCCACTCTTGACCTAACAATTCTTGCATTCCTAGTCTGGGAATCTCAAGATTCAGTGCATGCTCCTATTATCTATTATCATGTTTCCGTTGCTGAAATATGGGAGAATTGTTTTAAACCTTTGTTTTCCTTTATGAAAATGATGTAGCAATTGCATATCATGTAGTTTCAGAGCCTGCCATCATTTCCCTGACCAATTTAAGCAATAATAATAGGTCTATTTTTAGACACAACTGTCTATGATTATGATTAAGGTTGTCAGAATCCAAAGCTTATAAATTCATTAATTTCATATATCATGCTTAACAGCCAACTCTAATCTTCCTTTTAACATAATATTTACAGGTTATAATGACTGGAGAGAATTCTGTGGCTTACCAAAACTGGAAACTCAGACTGACCTGAATACAGTAATAACCAATCACAATGTCACTGAAAAAATCATGGAATTCTACCATAATCCTAGCAATATTGATGTTTGGCTTGGTGGTCTGGTAGAAGACTTTCTTCCAGGTGCTAGAACTGGTCCCCTGTTTGCATGTATAATTGGAAAGCAAATGAAAGCATTAAGGGATGGTGACCGGTGAGTTTGTTCATGTTGTTGAATCATTTGTGTAATATGCAGAAACAATGGAGGTTTTACAGATACGTGAGGATACTTCCCAGAACATAAGACAACATGATACTTAAACAGGCTTTAAACATTACACTTCCACATTTTTAACTTTGCTCCTTGAATTTTGTTGGGTGAGCTTTTGCTTATTCTTCTTTGGTCTGTATATAATTTCAATTCCAAACGACATGGAGATTGTTTCTGTAGTATTGAGATGCCCAGCTTTGCACTCCTGGTGGAAATGCAAGGTGTCACCAGCAGTTAATTGTGCCAGGGGCAGCTAACATCTCTGTGGATGGATGTAGCACTGTGCAGGCTTTAGCTATCCAGTCCCTGAGGGCTGCACTGGGCTCAGGGTCCTTTACTAGAAGAACCTCAACGTTTTCCATCACAACCGCAGCAAAGTCAGAAGGGATAGGCAGAGAGCTGTAATTCAGGCTTCCTAGAGGGGATAATAAAACCACCATGTACCTGGTCTTATGTGAACTGGGACTGCAGAGTGCTCCCAGAATTGCCTCATTGGACACAGCATAGTATAGTCCCTTCACTCAACCCTGCACAACCACCACCAGGATCTTGTGCCATTTGAACCTTCCACACCAGGAAGGCAGGAGAAATGCAGCTTCAAGTCACAAAGGGGTGCAAGATGCAGTTTATATCTTGCTTCTGCTCCTGAGGCAATTATAAAACAAACCTTTTTTTCATTTCCGTCATGTACTTGTGGCAGTAATTTTGAATCTCATGAGAAGACTAATTTTAAACTGCTCACACCACGCTAGCAGTGGTGTTTTAAGTACATCTGGTCCTTACGCTCACCTTTAAGCTCCTCTCAAAAGTCACTGTTGTGGAAAGAAACCATTATGTAAATAAGCATCCGAGCCAGAATTTAAATTTGAACTTTAAAAAATGTTAATTAATTAACTCACAGGAAAAAGCGATGTTAGTCATAAAGGTGGTATCTTATTAGCCTGAACTGTATAGACAACAAACATTCCACTCAGCTATGTTAAAAACATGGTTGAAAGTCTTCTGAATCGTACAGACATATTTGACCCTATCTGGGGAAGGATAATCTATTGAGGCCCTTCCAGCCTTGTTTCCATTATTCAGTGCCTTACGATACTTCTTATTATTCAGTGTCTTATTAATTAAACTTAAGCATAATTTAACATTAACTTCAAATTGAGAAAAAGAGAGTTCTAAAATAAAAGAATTCCCCACATTTCTGCCACAAAGTTTGTGTCAGCTAACTTAAATGTGAAATGGTATTGTCATAAATACTATGATAAGGAACTACCTAAGAGAAGTTAGAAGTATGTAAAAACATGTTATAGTTGTCATACAGTAAGTATAAGAATGGAAAAGTCTAATATTCATTGCAGTGCCTTGTCAGATAGAGTACTGGATATTATCTGTATCTGCACTAGTAACACTACATGCTTACTAGATACCCTAATTGAGATGTCAGTAAGTAGGGATTTCAAAACATCTCTTCTAACGTACTTGTTTAAGTTCAGAAATCAGGACTAAGTGGAATCTTTGACTGATTGAACTTCATCCTGTAGCCTTAAAATCTTTTGTCAGTAAAAAAACATGAAGGGATTTCTTTTTCCAATGTACTAAACTCAGGTACTGTCCTAACCTCAGCCAAATCAACTGGAAGGAATTGTTTCTGTTCCATGAGCCTTGACTTTCTTTTTCCATCTCTTCCTACTCTGAATCTTTTTGTGACCTCAGGATTTGCAATAGTTGGGCAAAAATCCTGAAGCTGACTTTGTCATTCTTTGCATAAGAGGGCTTGCGTCTCTCTTTTTTTTTTTTTTTCTTTTATTTCTTTGGGTTTTTACTAAAAACCTGTAAAATTTACCCGTAAAATTTTGGTCACCTGATACAGATCTGTTGGAGCAACCTTTCTTAGAGTAAACACCTATCTGCTGGGTAGGTTAAAAAATAATTTTCTGCTCAAGCCTTCTCAGCAGTGTAGATAAAACTTAATTTTGTAATGAAAATAGGATAGGTTTTAATGTACATGAAAGGGGAAATGACAGGTGTAGGACAGCTGACCAGAGCAAAGTCTCTGATGGCTTTGGTTATGGGAAGGGTCCTGGGAAAGGTCAGTGAGGTTTCAGGATGCTCTGAGAAGTTTGGGGACAGTGTGCAGGTGAAGGGTAGGAGGAAGGCATCTTTCTCTTTTTCTCTCTCCAGCCTCTCCATCTCTCCTGCACTTCTTGTCACAGTGCTGCTGAGGTGTGGGACGTTCACTCCATCCCTGGTCCAGTAGATTGCCTCCTCTTCCAATATAGGCAAAGTGGGACAGGTTTCTCCCCAAATTGTCCTGCTGTGGGTAAATATTTTCCTATAAAGCCAGTTTTCCAAAATTTCTTACGCTACTTAACCGGTACACTCCTGTTGGCAGCTGGGTCCAATTTGCCCAGAGCGCACTAGCAGCCCTCATGTTCCCCAGAACACAAACAGGACTATCGGACTTCTCATTTGCACGGTACCGTTTCAGGGGTCTGATAAAAAAACTAACATGCTGCACACACGCCAGGTTTGCACTGGGTCCACAGTCAACATCGCTGTTCCCTTCTGATCAGAAAAATGTAAACACAAAAACCACAGACTTTTCTAGAAACCCAGCCTTGTTACCCCAGTATTATGGATGCCCAACTCCTGTGTTAAACCTGAGGTTAATTTGTACAGTGTGATCACATCCATACTCTACTGCTAATGGTCCTAGGACACGTTACCACAAATCCTGCCTAGCATTTGGGAAAATCCTAATTGGCCTGAGTACCACAGGGAACTATCTTAGCAGTTTAGCAGTGCTTAACAATGTTTAATGCACTAATGCAGATGTGCTATTAAACTCTCCAGAAATACTTTTTTGCCATTCATGACATGTCTTTATGTACAAAATGTTTATCTTTTCTTTTTTCCCCAGTGTTTTCTTTCCCTTTCTTTTTATCTTTAAACACATATGTATGTGTGTATGCACACATATATATTATATATAATATATATCATTTAATAGATACACCTTTATGGCACCAACTGGTTCTTCAGTTCTGCCACCACATTCCCGACCTGACGAAATCGAAAAAGCAGCTCCTCTCTGTCCCAGCCAGTCCTCTTAGCTTACTTTTTTGTATGATCAAAAGCACAATTACTGTTTTACAGTTTTCTACTATAATTAACCTGCATATCTACAGCTTTCTTAGCAAATGAAGAATTCCATATTAAACAGAGGAGCATTCAGCAATACCTTTTTTTATAACAAACATTCAGTAATGGCAAGCAGAATTCAAAAGCTATGGTATAGGGAAATCTATTATGGCTAAACCTCTAATTTGGCTACTCCTGTAATTCTCCTGTAATTTATGCTTAAAACAATTTATGTGACAGTGTGACAGTGAATGCTGGTGTGCATAAGATTAAACATCCAGTTCAAACAAATTAGTTCTAAGTTTTTCTCTCAGGACTGTAACCTTTTTTGTGGCCCTATATCATCAATGAAAAGCAATTCTGCAAATGTGAATAATTAATAGTTTTAACCAGCTGCCTTTAACACATCATCTGAGTTGACCAGTATGTCAGCCTCACACTAGCCTTTTCATGACTTTCAAGCTGGATATGTAAATCTGCAGATCATGGTGTTTACTTTTATTATTGTTGTATCCACTTACATTTTGCTGTAGTTCTTATTTTTGGTCTTTTGCATAGGGTACTGTGAAAGTAAGAATAATCAGCTCTTTGAATTCGATCTTTTCAAAATGTTTCTATCAATCTTTCCAGATTTTGGTGGGAAAATGATAATGTTTTCACAGAAGCTCAAAAGCATGAACTCAAAAAACACTCATTGTCCCGCGTGATTTGTGACAATACAGGGATTTCTGAAGTGCCAGCAAATGCCTTTCAACTTGGAAAGTTTCCACAGGATTTTAAGCATTGTGACAATATACCTGGAATGAATTTAGAAGCTTGGCAAGAATTCTATCAGGAAGGTAATCCAGTAATTACCAGTCTTTTCTGACAGGAGGGGAGAGTCATCAGCAATTAGAGCACTGACCTTGGTTGTGGCAGATCTTGAGTTACTGGTCTGATGCAGATCTTTAGTATTTCTACAACTTAGAAATGGGATCTAGGTCTTTCTCTCCTTCTTTCTCAACTTCCTCTGTTAAAAAGATAGTGTTTGCCAACTTCACTCTGATAACACGAATGGCTTGTGAAATATTCAGACATTATGGCAATTGGGGCAGGAGTTCTTAGACAGATACAAAATACTAACTAAGAACTCTGCAGAACATACTCTTAGAAGATAATGCTGATTTTACAAGGATTGTAAGTCAAACCTGAGGTATTCCATATAAATTCTTGTCCAGAAATGAACAATTAAATTCTCAATCACCTTAAAACATGTGAATAATTTCACTTAAGTTAATTTATAGTAGTAATGGAGAATAATGTCTATTTTCAAGGGTAAGGTGGTAATTTTTTAAGAGCTTGTAATACAATCTTTTTATTTGTAGAGGAAATATGTGGAACACCAAAGAGTGTGGAAAATGGTGATTTTGTATACTGTTCAGAATTTGGAAAATCTACGGTGACTTATTCATGTCAATATGGATTTCAGTTACAAGGAGAAGAGCAATTAACCTGCACAAGTGAAGGATGGAACTTTGAGGCTCCCGTTTGTATAGGTATCTATTCTTTTGTTGTTGTTTCTGAATTTTCTAAAAGCTGAAGTCAAACACAGCTCATCAGAAGCGAACTCCCTCCTATGCTTTCTTGTAGTCAACCTTCTGGGTTGGTAGGTACGATAACATGATAACGTGAAACTCTCCTTGCTCCAGAATTGCTATCTCAATCTCTACCCATCCCGATTCAGCAATCAGATTGATGATAGGAAAATGTCATTAACAATTACCTAATTAAGCAAAAACGAGCCAATTAACAACCAGTGGAAAAAAGCAGCAAATCAGAATTATACATTGCTTCTGCCAACATTCAACATAACAGCAAGACAGACAGTTGTCATTTTCCTAGCATTGTTTCAATGGACACTCTAGATACAAAGTGAGCTCAGCACCAGTAGTTCGTGTATCATCCTAATAAGTTAAGCAAAAGTGACAAAAAAAAAACCTGTGAAGTGAATAAGTGAAATCAAACAAATTAATTATCACTTCAGTTCCAACTCCCTCCCCCAAACAGCTGTTGAAAAGTTTGCCAGAAGTGAATTACTTCTGCAGGTACAAAAGTAGAGCAGGTGAAAAATCAGTAAAAAGAAATTGTCTTTCAACATTTCACGCACATTTTCAGGGGAATACTTTTCTGTTATTTTAATTATTCTTTTATCTTCTCTCTTCCTTTTGCTTTATTTTTATTGTTGAATAGAATAGGGTAGGAAGAAAGAGAATGTGGCAAAAATTTAATTACAAGACCTTCACTATTTGCAGCTATGAAGGATGAATTCTCTCTTCACATTTCAAATGTGTGTGTTTATAATGGGGTGTGTGTGTATATATTTTTTTTTATATCTTTGTATATATAAACGTATATATAGACACACACTCAAACTGCTCAACTTTATAAGAATATGAGAGAAAATGAAACCTGAAAAGACCATACTTAGGAATATATTATGGACAGTAGTAAATTTGAATGCAAGTGCTGCAGCTGATCCGCAATAAAGTCTGCTTATCAGTATTTCTGTGACAGCTATTCATTCTAATTGTATACCTAGCATGGAAAAAGTCAAATGAAATTTGCAGCTCTGTCCTTTATTCAAATCCTATTTACCCACTGAATTTCACACATATAAATACCATATAAAGAAATAAAGCTGTTAAATGAATTATAATAAAATCTTTTCAATAGATTAATGTTCTGGCAGCAAACTGAATAAATAAGTTACATGAATGAATCATTCCTTGTCCTAGTTTCCTTTAATATGTTCAGTAATGTAAACAAAAGACTGTATATCTGCTATAGGAAAACAAGCTGCTGCATACATTAAATAAGCAATGTCTTTATTAAGTGAAAACCATCAAAACCCACTTATGCAGATGCTACTTGAGTTTTACAGTAGAAAGCACTTTGTTCCATGCATGTCTGTGCAATGTGTTCTCATTCTTTTAAATGTTCAGCAAATTAGGAATAAGTCAAGCAAATATAATGAGGAGGATAGAGCTTAGCATTTCCGCAGATGGTTTCAAAATTATATGCTGCTCTGGAAAAGACAGAGTGGCCTGCTGGCAAAAGCACAGGGATCTGAGAGCTGCTAATTCCTGCTTACTAACTTTGGCTTTGACAGAAATAATTTCTATTGATTCAGAAAGTCATTTAGTGCTAGGCTATGCTACCTTCCTTTATATTAATTGTTATCTTACTCTTGATAGATAATTCTGTTTACTTTGCTTTAATAAAGTACTGCTCTCTCTGAGTAGTAGGGTAGGCTGGTAAGATCTAACATGCACTATTTAGTGATGGAAAAAAGAGTTAGCTAGTTAATGGGTAGCATGACTATGGACTTACAAAAGCCAATAGCACATTTGAATTACAGTGCAGGCAAAGCCTGTGCAGGTTTTCCTTCCCAGATGATGACGAAGCCAGTGGGAGTTAACTCAAAATGTAGTGTTGAAGGGAGTAATACTTGTTCAGGAATCTTCATCCTGAAAAACAGATTATTTTCCAGCTTCAGAGAGGTGTTATAAGAGTTAGTGTTTCTCAAGGGTTCTGAAGTTTAAGATTATTCCTTGCATGATTAGTCTTTTGACTGTCTCAGTTGATGGCTAGCTTTGGACACAGCTACTGCTTTGTATTAAAATTTAAGAGAGGATCAGGCTTGATCCTATTTCCAATGACAGAATTCCCTAAGTGATCTGAGTGACAATGCTAAGCTAAGTCAGTAAATCATTCCTACAGGGTCAGTTTTTAATACTGATCAAAAAGAGCTACTTAGCCTGAAGTAGCAGATCAAACATTGTGGTAGGGAAGGAAAGGAATATAACCAAGAAGAGAAAGAAGACACTGAAGGCTCAGCTAGTTGCCCACATATGGGCTTGCAGTGCTTCCCAGGACCACGCGTCAGAGACATTGAACAAGCTGGCAAATATTGTACAGGACTAATGGGAAACTATCTAAAACAGTGCTGGACACTTATGTTTAGGCAACTGAATCAAGTCCTGCAAGTAAATATTACACAGAAAGAAGAAAGATGCAGAAATATGGAAAAGATTCCATTCTTGCCCTCATTGAGTACTTTCTTTCCTGCATGCCACACTGACTCCCATTTCATCACATAGTCAGAATGTGAGAGTGAAAGGTCTTGAATGGCCTCAGGAACAATATATTTATGTACATTTTCCAATGGATAATTGTTCATCTGCTCATCATTCTGTCAGGACATTGTCATCTCACAGGATTTATATAACATCTAGAAACAACCATTTTTGCAGTGATATCACAGATTACTGTTATAAATTTTCTATGCAAAGCTAACCCGAATCCTTGGCTCCTCAAAATCATGCCTAGAAGTGCATAGAAATGTGTCGGTGTTATTATTTTCACTACTTCTAGAAAGCATATTATGGAAAAGGTTTATAGAGGAACTCAAAGTCTTAGGACATAAACACGTGCAAGAAGAACTCTCAAGGTTATAGTCTGCATTTTTGAAAATTCAGCCAATTGCCATTTGTACCTTTTGGTGGATTACCAAAACAACATTTTCTTTTTTCATCATTTCCAGCTTAAAAACAAACAAAAAAACCCAAAAAACAAAACAAGATGTACCCAGCTTTGTTCTTTAAAAAGTAACAATAAGGATCTCTGGCAGTATCTATGTGTCATTGAAAGTGTACAATACATTTCATTTATGAATACTTGTAGAAGGTGTGTATGAAAAGCTAGTAATCCCTCTCTGTAATTTATAATTATTATTGATCAATGTGTATTCATTTTGCAGACATCAATGAATGTGAAAATGAAATTAATCCACCATGCTCTCCTTCTGCTAAATGCATTAACACTAAAGGCAGCTATAAATGTCTCTGTACTGATCCTTACAAGCTGGCAGAAGATGGAAGAACATGCATTGGTAATGCTTGAGAACTTACTGTCCATTAAAAATTTCTCTGTTCTGTTTTACAATGCTGTAAAAATCATAAAATTGAAATTTATTGAAGAGCTGTTAATATATGTAAAAAACCTCTACACAATCATGGGCATAAAGATACAGTCAGATTCTGTAAAGTAAATGAAGGTATTCAATAAATAATACAGACACAGAAGTAAGCTTTTCATTTTCCATTCCTACCGTATATAAACCACTAAGTATTTCCTGACAGTGCATGTGAAGGGGGGATCAAATCTGTCTTGGTTTCTCCTAGTTAGTGTCTAAATTCAGCATCTGAATCTTAACTAAGTTCCACCCATTACATTCCAAAACCCTTTTAGAGGTAGCATAAATTATGCATTTTCTTGTTTTTCCACTTTTCAGCATGCGTAGAAGCTGTATTGGGTCTTAAGGTTTAGGGGAGGAGTATGAATGTAGTTGCACACTGATGCTGAGCAATACCTGTTCTGGAGAAAGAGCGCCTAGATCTGCCAAAAGCTCCGTGAAAACCTGCAATCCAAACTCAAGTGGAATTCAAGTGGATGGATATCTACTTTACCAAAGTGCCCAAGGGAAGCACAGCTTAGAGTGCTCAAATCTTACGTATTCAGTGCTGTATGCCACACAATCATAAGTAGACTGAATCTCACTGATGCCACATTTCTTGTTTCCTGTTTCAGCAAATACCTTGGTTATGGCATGTGGGATTACACTGTCCCTTATTATTAATTGCACAAAGAAAAGACAGGATGGTAATTCCCCAGCAAAAAAATTACTTTCTCGCAAACAGATGTCTTCAACAATATGATGTACATCCAGCCAGTTTTCCAGCTGTGGTTCAGGATCACGTGTGCGTATTCCTCAAGTGAGACCTCATTCCTCAAGTGAAACCTTAAGTGAGGCCATGTGAGATCACTGAAGGCCCAGGAGTGAAGGACAGTGGGCGACTGCACTAATACAGCAGCACTTGGCACCCCTCTGGGCAGGCACACCAACAGAAGTACCTTCTCAACAGTGAATGTTGCCAGAAGGACCTACCTCTCTCTCGCTGTAGCAAATGCAAATGACCCTAAAAGAGGGTCAACTCTTTCTGGGATAAAGCTAAAAAGGAATGGTGCTAGTCATTCAGAGTTTCATCTTTTAAAATATCAGAAAAATACAAAACCCCCACCCTATTTGTAGGTGTTTCTTATCTTTATTTACAGTTTATTCCTTTACCCATTCAGCCATGGTCACATTTATTTACCACTCTAAATCCAGAGACAAAACCCTGCCTTCAGATTAGTTTAAAGAGATTAGCTCACTGGTGTTGAGCACAACAAAGACAGATTATATGAGGACGCTGCACTGGCATGAATGTAAGGCAGCTCCAAATAGAAGGTAAATTTTCTATTTCAAGAGAGGAAACAGGAAGGGCTTACAGTCAGTGCTACTGTGCCAAGTGATCGTTATCCCAGACCAAATCAAATGTGCTTTTCAGAGCTTCATTGGCTTTCTGACAACTCAGTAAACGGGTGCAGGTACAGTTACCCAGGCCACTGCTGAATGCCTAGCATATAAGGTTAGTGCCTTCCTTTAGACCCCAGTGGCTAGAGGAGTTGCCATCTCCATGGACCCATCCTTGCATGTTATGCTAAGGTTTGGTTTGTTGGATCTCTGGAGTCAGTCATTAACAGTTTCTGCTGTGTGACACTGGTTCCTCTTACAGCTTAAAGGTATGGAAGAAAAAGGCCATTGACAAATGACTGGCAGAATTTGGCAAGTGATTACCTGGGTCTTTCTTGCACTATCTTACAGAAATAAAGAGACTTGCTTGACAGTATCTCTGCCATAACTGCATTTTAAACTGACTGGTCAATTTGAAATTGTGGCATTAATCAGTCAACAACTCTTTAAGCCACTGCAAAATGTCAGCCATTACGTATTAGTTATAATTTATACTGACAAACTTTTAAAAGACATCAATTAAGATGAGCAACAGACTCTTCTCAGTAGTGCAACAGACTCTTCTCAGTAGTGCCCACTGACAGGAAAAGAGGCAATGGGCACAAACTAAGAAACATGAAACACAAAAAATACTTTTTTACTGTGAAGGTGGGCAAACATCAGAACAGTTTTCCCAGAGAGGTTTTGGAGTCTCCATTCCTGGAGATGTTCAGAACCTGACTGGATACAATCCTGGGCAACCTGCTTTCAATCTCGGTGATTCTTTGATTCTGTGATTAGGTATGAAGAAAAGGAACAGGTATCTAGCAAGGTTTTACATGGTTTCTCTGTAAACTGTGGATCTTGACATGCTCGTGTGCATTTCTCACTGTCATTTCTCATACTGTTTCTATTGAGAAAGAAGTAGTTAATTAGCTACTTGACAGTAGATTGCTCCCAAAAATATTTGTATTAACAAGTGAAAGGAGAATGTTACCAACAGTCAATTGTGTTCTAGTTTGTTTAATTTCCATATTAAAAAAATGTATGACAAATTTATTTAAAACTATATATAAAGTATGTGGTTTTACTTCAGCTGATACAATAAGTTTTTATCAAGGTTGTTGGGTGGCTTGGCTTGTTGGTCTGTTGGTTTTGCATTTTTAAGGACATCATTCATAAGACCCAGCTAATTTCACCATATATTTAGAACGAGGTTTTGAGCTTTGGTAAAAAAGGCAGTGCAACACTTTTCTAAACCAACATGTTGATTATAATAAATGAGTAGCTGAAATTTAGCAGTAATAAGAATTTGGGGATCTGCAATAGGGAGTGATTTAAAATTATGAGAGCATTATTATGAGCATTTCAATCCTCAAAACTAAAGTGCTCTTCAAATTTTGGAGAGCTCTAGTAATGCTAACTATTCAATACTGCAAATCTATATAACCTTCAATCCTGTTTTTATTGATAGAATTCATCAGTAGGCTCAAGGCTTTCTTTTCTAAGGTTGGATAATGTTTTTGACTCAGATGGAAACTTGTGTAGGGTAACTTTATTCAGGAAGTGAATTTGTTAAGTTGCCTCAAATCAAACTTGCTCAGCCCTTACCACTTTGGTCCATGGTTTGTATAAGTGTTCGAAGTTAAAAAAAAAAAATTACAAACAGAAAAGTTCCAACTTTCCACCTGTGCATACTCTAACCATGAGAAAAAGACTGTCATGTTGACCTACAGCAAAGATATTTAAAATGTGTATGTTTTGCCACCCAGATGAAGTAGGCTAAAACTAATTATTTTTGAAGGCTTAGGCAATGGGCAGAAACTTTTTAGGTTGAAATGTGTCATATGATTAAATAATTATGTGTTCCTACCCTCAGGACAATGGAAACAAGCTTGCTTTTATAAATCCTATTTTCTTTGATGTGATCTCAAACTAAAAAGGAATCAAGATGTATTTAGCCATAATTAAAAAAAAAAACAAACAAACAGCAAATATAAAATACATTAAAAACTTGAAAAAGCTGTATTAAAAATACTTTCAACCAGCAAACTAGCATGTGTTTACATGATTGATGGATGAGGATTATCTAAAGTGCTCATGGAAAACTTCTGTCTAATTCAATGAGTAATACAGTTTGGAATTTATTTTTTAAATTACATGATAAATCCATGAAAAATCTATCCAGTGTGTTAAATCTCTGAACCTTTAATAGGACCTTTGAGTGCCACTACAATAAGAATACATTATGCATTAAAGGGATAAGAGCCTATTGTGTGAGTGCCCCCAGTCTTCCTCCTGTCCATGTTGTGGACAAAAAATGAACAATATCTTACCTGGTAAATGGAGTAGTGATTTAACTCTGTCATTAAAGGTGTCACAATGTAGTCCAAAGGAATTAACATAAATAAGTGAATAGGTTTAAAATTAAAGATCAGTATAAGTAAGCATGAAGGAGTCTCATCTTCATTTCTGTAGTCTTGGTGAGCAGGTTAATATTACCTCCAACACCGCACACTGCAGCAAATGTAATTTCAAACTGGGAAAAAACTCATTCATTTTCCCTCAGTGCTAATAATTACCTGTCTGTTTCAACATAAATATTCATGCATATTCAGTCCCTCTCTTACTTTTTAATGATATGAAGTCCAGCTCACTAGGAAGTGAAGTTATTTCACTTGTAAATTCTCCATTTTTTCTGATGCCTATTAGTCTCAATATTCTGGAAACCTTGCTCTGGAAAAACTTGGTTTTCCTCCCACTCAGTTTAATTCTGCTGTTGCTAATAATTGATCAACTGGTGATGCTGCATTTACTGTTGTTACTTCGGTAGCTTTCCGCTTGTGCCTTCATGAACTTTTAGCTTTGAGATTTTATGCTGTATCTGTTTTTCTCTTCAGATGATGTTTAAATTTGATTGATGGCTTTTTAATATTGCAACTTGAGAACTGACCATAAATCTTTTCCATAGCCAGTTTAAACAGTTTGTATGGTATATATGAAAAAAAAAAACAAACAATTTAGCTCCCATTGGGTTGATCAGAGGAGAACTCCCACTAAGGAATTACCCTTAACTGTTAATCCCAAAGACCAAATAACTTGAGAGAAGATGAGAGCCAGCAGTGACATTTCAGGTTTATCTGTAATACTCCAATAATGGATCTCTGAAAGACCAAACAAACTAAAAATTAAGAGGTAGTTCCCTCTCTACTACTGAAATAAGATCTAGCTGCCAAGAAATAAGGATGTCGTTTCACATACAATATTTTCAGTGTGAATCTGAATGAAAATGAGACATTTTGATTCATTTGGTTAAAAAAAAAGAGTGATGGTGAGACCCTGTAGTCTGTTGTTCTGGGTGTGGACTTTATGGTTCCTTGTGAATATGTGTTGCAAATGCTCTGTTTTGGGACAAGGTGCTCACAAATTCTTTTAATCAACTGATGTTTATTTACCTAGTCTATTTGAAATCTCTGATAAAATCATCAAGAAAAGTGGCAGTATGTCAGTGAGCATGCTCTCGCCTTTCATTTCTCTCACTCGCATCCCGTTTTCGC